CTGTTCATCTCTTCCTTCTTCTGTGCCTCTGTTTCTGCTCTCTGATAATAAATCTGCCTGTGCTTTCCCAGAGCTTGAATGCACCCAACATAATGCTGAACATTGTATAAAGACATAGGTAAAACCGCTGCTCTCACCATTAGCTTCAGTATCCGAGCAGGACGACCTGCTCTGACGGAGGGGGTATTTTTTAGCAGTGGGGTTTGTCGCCCCCTGGTGACTGCGCGTGACCCTGCGTCCAGAGGAGAAGATGGATGCTGCCACTGCTGCTGCTGCTGCTGCTGCAGACTCTGATACTGAATCCAGGCCTTCATCGGGGCCCACACCTGCAGGAGAACTGCTTTGTACGGAGCTGCAGTTATCTAAAAAAGAAGAGAAGAGATTTTCACCTGTTGAGCTTTACTACTGGCTTTTCACTGAAAACATAGAATAAAATCTCATGAAACCCAACAGAAAGTATCTAGAGTTATATAACGTTATCCTGAACCATTTGATTAAAAAGGCCGATAAACCAATATTTTATAAATATATTTTTATTGACTACTTTTACATTGGTTATATTTTAATTTTACTTACATTTTGAATGTATTATTTCTTTTTTGACATTGGTACTTGTACTTAATCACAATTTTGTTTTACAGTAGTTTCAAGATTATGACCCAGAGAAATGATTAGCTGATAAATTAATTAATTGACTGACAGAAAGGTACCTGTCAAAGATGGCAAATATCTCCTAGCTCTCTGCTTCTAAATTGTGAGATGTTTCTTCTGCTATTTGACTTCTGTGACATTAACGTGAATATGTCTAGGTTTTAAAATGCTGGTCAGTCAAAACAATCAATTATATATAAAATCTAATGATAAACCATGAAAACAAGCAACAGAAGTAACGATAATGAAATAACCACTAGATGCAGCCCTACTTGATTTTCAAATAAATTTTACTGCAAAAAAATTAAAAGTTTTCCAAATTCTCAATTGATTTCTGAAACCTAAGAAATCATCTGTAAAACAATGACCCCACGCTAAATTGTTAAGAAGATAAAGTTACTTGTTGCGAATGCCATCAGTGGTATTGAAGAAAAAAAATAACAGAAACAAGACTCAACCTAGATCCATTTCTTTCTGGAGCAAACTCTGCAGTGTGCCTGCGTGAGGACCAGGACAATGCAGCCTCAAAGTAACAAGAAGCAGAGGAAACAGTGACAGCTTTTCTTTCCCTGTTGTTAATCCCCTCTGGCAGCCACAACAGAAAGAGGCCACAGAGGGTGAGAGGAGAGTTTGTGTGTCTGTGGTTGGGGGAGGTTGGCTGTTTTGCTACTGTTGCAAAGCTGAAGTGAAGAGGCCTGTGGTCTCTGCACTGTTCCTTATTCAAATGGATCAGTTTATCAAACAGCATTTAAAGAACTCTGTGAGCACGAGGAAAAAGATTCTCTGGTCTGATGAGACAAAAACTGAACTGTGACTCCAAGCACTATGTCTGCTGAACACCAGGCACTGCACATCACCTGCTAATAATACCATGAGTCAGGGAAGTCCATGAAGAAAACCTACTGTAGAGTTCACATATCTAGAAACTGGGTTAATGACTCAGCTTTCAGCACCACACTGACCTGATGCACTCAGCCAAGACAACAGGGCAGTGACTGCAGGAAAAGACCCTGACTGCCCTTGAATGGCTCACACTTAAACCCCACAGAACATCTGTGAAGAGACCTGAACATGGCAGTTCACAATCCAATGGAGCCTGAGAGGATATGCCAGGAAGATCATCTCCAAATCCAGCTGTGTAAAAGTTGCAGACACTTACCCAAGAAGACTGGAAGATGTAATTACTGCCAAAGAGGGTTCTACAAAGAACTGAATTCAGGGTCTGAATACTCTTGTAACTGACAGATTTGCATTTTTGAACCGTTTTTAATACTGGAGAATGCAACGTTTTCAAGTAGGAAGCAATGCATCTATGAACATGCAGATAGATGTATGAACTAGGAAGCTTTAAGACCTGTTTTTAGAGAACTGAAATGTAGGCCACTGATATTAACCCTCAAAATAATTTATTCCTTTTCATGCTGGGTTAAAAATGTTGCTCAGTTTGTTTGTTTTTCCCCACAGTTTCTAATCCCCAAAGTTCTGTTACATAGGCGTTTTACCTTGTGAGCTCCGGCTGAGGCGCAGTGATGCGCGAGTCAAGCGCGTGCTGCTGCGCCTGCGCGCGCTCTCGGAAACTTCGGTGTGCTCGAGGTCAGCGGAAAAATCTGAGTCCTCCGTCCCATCCGAGCTGCTGCCTGCAGTCCTCTAGAAACAACAACAGTTGTCAGGGATCTGCCTGATTTAAAACCCGTGTCAGGTGTTTAAAACCTGTGATTAGTTAGAAAAAAAATCTGTGCAAGTGATGCAAGTAAAGACTGATGTTTTTTTTAATACCAGCGGATAATTCAACAAAGATCCCATATTGAGGAAGGACCATCACCCCTTCCACATCTCCTCCGGCTCTGCACCCTTCTTATAACGATGGATTTGTCGTTATATGTAACCTACTCGGCATCTCCTAAATACAATCGACTCCGACTATTTTACCAACTCCAATTGCTTCAATGCACCTTCCGTGTGAATGGAGGGTTTGTAATCTATTACGTCGGCTAAATAGTTTACAAAACTATTGCCAAGAACGCCTAACAACTAGGTAAAACCGGACCAACTCAGAAAATGTACCATAAACGCATTTTCAGCGTAGCCTGCCCAAACTGCAAGCTTTCTACCACACAGAATGAATGGGGGTGATGCTAATAAGGGGCTCACTAAAATCCGGGTGGGGTAAGGGAATTTAAGCACTAGTCAGCATATCATTAGGATTTCACAGAAAACATATTGACGGCGCAACACTTTATTGATTGTCACGAGCAAGAGCTGTTGTTACAGCAGCACTAAAACTACACACACACATATGAGCTAAGCCTACACATAAAATGTACCTTATATCATTTATGTTTAACGTATAACCATACACTAAATAATATAAGATTATAACGTAAATCTAAGTATGAAAACTATAGATATCCTAAGCCAATATGCATATGCTAAATGTGCTTTATATGCACTATCTAATATGTGAAAATAAATTTGATAACGTCGTTATTAGGCTACATAAAGTTATAATAGAAGTGAAAAAAACATGTTTGCAACACTGAACGGCGAAAATAAACAATACAGGTAAATATAAAAGCTAATATAAGAGCTCCTGTGTCTCTACATCATTGGCTACCAGCGCACATTATGTAAAGCGTGTTTGACAACTTCAAGCTAAACATCAATTTGCATATGACCAATACAACTAAAGAGAAGGCGGGGTTTGAGAGAGCCGACCAATGAAGACCATGCTTGTCTACATTCTGTCCAATCACAGCGTTGTTTTGGTGCGGACTCTTCGTTTCATCCTTGCACTTCAAGAAAAGCCCGTTTCTTTCGGTCCGTTAGAGCTGCCGTTACCGGCGATTACTAAGGTCAGCATCTCCACCAGTTGATCTGGCCACAAGCGCAAACTCAAAATTTTCAGTCTTTCTTACTATAATCAGAAGAGGCACTCATAGACAAGAACACATTCTTGCAACTCAGCAATGAACGTTAGCCAGTTTAGCTTTTAGCAACAGTCAGTCAACAAACAAAACGGCAACTCACTTGTGTGCCTATCAACACACAACTAAAGTTCAATAACGTCATCTATAGATTGGTATATCAGCTCGCTGGTGGTCATTGCTGGCTAACATTAGCTAGCAATGACGTTATGATGTGTGTCCAATTTGCAGCCTGCTCTAACGGCTGAGTCTGCAACAAACATCTGCCATACCTTTCTCCGGGGCATTGTCAAAGATGAAATGTGTCGCCTCTTCTAGATTATTACCCCGTACTTTGGAAGCAATTTATCACAGGCTATATGAATATAAGACCAATAAATAACTAGCTTTCGACATGAGCCAACTCAGCTGAAAAAAGCGCACCAATTTCTCCGCACTTCCTTGTACGTAGAGCGCAAACTCATTCGATTATCAGGTACGTTGACAAAATCCCTCCGTGTAGAACATAGAGCGAATGGTATCTGGTCCTATAGTTCGGTGTGCTCGAGCGGAATAAGGGTGCGAAATGAATTACCCAGTTTTAGCAATTTTTCAAATGAATGAGTAGTTACTAAAATATTAACTTATTAATTGTGCACAGTAACAACGAGCTATGTTCATTAATCAAACTGGTGTTATAAAGCGGGATCACCTACTAAACCCTAATATATCTAAAACTGATTGATGCAAGTCGTTTACAAAAACAGCAAACATTGCGTTCTTAGACCGGACACAACACCGGAAGTGGGAAGGGGGGAGTTCCCTTGTTTTTTGCAAATTCGTTTGATTTGTCCAGCCTAAAGTCTCAATGTTTTAAGTGGAAGGGAAGCTTGCTTTTGACGTGGAGTCAGAACTTTGTCGCCTTTCTGCTTTTCCTTTCTTTTTCACCTTTTGTAACTACCAGTTTACCAGCTTTAAAGGAAGGATTTTCTCTCCTGGACGCCACACAGAAACGAGTGTAGAGTGCAAGATCGATTTGCCTCCTCATTGACTTGTACAACTATTATGGCTGGTACCACCACCGAGACAGTGTACGATATTTTTCAAAGCATGGAGTACGGAGCAGTTGTGACTTCTAGCACCGCCACTGCACAGGTAAAATCACGAAAGTTACAGAAGAGATGCAACTGTTACGGTTGGTATAATACCACATTATGCTCCTTAGTGACAAATAATCTCATGTTTTGATGCTCACTGTTTAGCGAATTAGACAATTTGGCCAATGTGAAGTTTATTAACTGTTATCTGGCTGTAACTCACGAGGCAAACATGTGACGCAAACTGTACAGAAGGCGGTTGTTATATGTAGGGGGTGACGCCGTGCACGTTTCCATTCTATGAAAATGTAACGCACTGATTTTTTGGTCATTCTGCCAGTAGCCTATCATTTGCCCCCAGAATAAAATCTGACGTGAAGACTTGGGTTCATGTTGTGTACGAATCAGCAAAGTGTTCCTATACATTCACTTTATGGGTTAAATAACAGCTATGAAGAAGCTCCAAGATTTTTCACTAGGCTTCCTCATCCCTTCAGCCTGTCCTTCTGCTTATAATGACACACAGGTACACCAAGATTTGCTCTTTGTTGCTAACTGAAGATGAGCTCAGTGGTTCAGACTCAGAGCACACTGTATGTCAGTACTGTACTTTACTCTTCTCTCTGTAAATAGTTAACAGTCACTGCCTGGCCTACACACCTTTGCCCTTGGAAAACTCACTTGCCAGAAAGTGTCACGTTACTATGACAACCAGCTGTTGTGAGCTGTGCTGACACTGATCATTCTTGCAGCAACGCTGTATATTCAACAGGGTTCTGCAATGAAATAATTATTTACATGTTTATTTCTTATTTCTTTCACGTTATTAAAAAAGTAACAATATTTTGTCAATGTTAATACAGCCTTGTTTATTTTAATGTGGTGTACTGTCATTAAAAATGTGCAAAACTGAATGAAACCAAACATCTTCTAACATCGTTTCCTCACTTTTAAGGCACCATGTCTGCAATATTCTAACACTAACCTCAATGAAACCAAACATCTTCTAACATCGTTGCCTCACTTTTAAGGCACCATCTCTGCAATATTCTAACACTAATCTCCCAAAGATGCTGAGCACCTCTAAATGTGACCTGTGTGGGTCCTCCTTTCATTTTGCCTCATTTTAGGTGTACTAAGAGTTGCTTTTAGGGCTGTCTACATGTTGTCAGATTATTTAAGACATATTCTGTTAATAACTGAAAAACCTAGACATGATTTTGGTTACCATCTTTTAGACCTTCTCCTCACCTTGAATGTCCCCTTACTTTCTTCTCCATCAGGCCTGGCTGGATCATCATTCCCGTTCTCTGGGTCTGTTCATCGATGGAAAGTTTGTCTGTCCAGCCGACAGACAGGTCCGCTCACTGACTGATTCTAAAGGTAAGAGCAGCCTGAGTTTGGGATATATAGAAAGCAGACCCAGCACTGAGCTTTTTTTATGCTTCAGCTTCATCAAGTTTCAAACAGTTCTTTGAATAAAGGATGATAATGATGAAATTAATCAGATGTGTTATTTCACTCCTCTGCATTTCAGGTGGGAATGTGTGTAGCATAGTGTGCGCTGTGGAGGGTGATATTTCCCAGTGTGCTTCCTCTGCTGTTATTGGCTTTAAGGCCTGGAGTGGCCTGACCTGCTCCCAGAGAGCCAAAGTGCTGCTCAGGTATAACAGCTTTATACACAGGAAAACCCAGGAACTCCTGTTTGGACTGCCGTCCTACTGTAGAGATGAAATTATCATACCAGTGCTTTTGCATGTTTTACTACCAGTCATGCATGCAGTGCTGCACCACTTTCATGATATCTGTGTTTGCTTTTATTTTGCCCATCCTTTGATAACAGGTTGGGGAGTGTTCTTGGGCAGCACGGTACGTGTGTGTCGGAGCTGTGTGAGGTGTGTGAGGCTTCCTGCTCACCCTCCAACTTGGTCAGACTGCTGCAGTACTACAGCAGCTGGGCTCAGCTCAGAGACACCCTCATCGCTAACTGGACACCACTGGGTGAGGGACGGGGATGTGTTTAAAAAGAATTACTTAGTTTTACAATTCATTTGTCTTTTTTAAATTTTGTTTGTTTTGCTGATTTCCAGGTGTGGTGGCAGTTGTTGTCTCTGATGACTGCTCTCTCTATTCCCTCGCCCTTAAAGTCCTGCCAGCATTGGCCATGGGTAAGAAAGCCACACACTTTGTTAATGAGATGCACTTCCAAGGATCTCTTGTAAATTAGGATAAACCTAGGGCTGCAGCTAATGATTGTTTTTATTGTCAGCTAATAAGGTTTTTTTTCTTGCTTGATCAGTTAATTATTGTTGTTTTGTTGTTATTGGTGTTTAGAATTCCAGAAAACAGTAAGAAAGGTCCATCACAGTTTCCTAGAACCCAAGCTGATGCCATCAGATACACTACAAAGGCCAAAGATATTCTGTTTATAGTAGTGCATGACAAGAGAGAGCAGCAAATTGTCATATTTAAGAGAATGAAACCATTAAATATTTAATAATTTTGCTTGTAAATGATTGCAGCATAGCAGCGGATTAAGTTTTTGTTGATTGACTGTAGGTCAAATGTTGTCAATATAGTTACCTGTTAATTTTTATTCAAAGCTGTTGTAAGACATGTTGTCAGTTATAATTGAATCCTGCCTCCTTCCAGGCAACTCTGTCATCGTTGTCCCTGGTCAGAGCACTGCTCCTCCAGCTCTCCTACTGGCACAGCTTTTTATGGCAGCGGGACTTCCAGCCGGGGCTCTTAATGTTTTAACAGGAAGTGACATGTCACTGGGTGCCAAAGTGGCCCATAACCCCAGCATCAGCTACGTCACCTACAGCGGTAACAAGCAGGTGTGTCTGAGAACACTATGGTGTTAGATTTCTAACAGGCGAGTTGAGAACCTATGTATACATGTGCTATAAAGGTCACGACCTGGCTTCTAATGTTCCCATTATTTCTCAGCTACAGCAGTGTTTCTCCTCTCTTTAAGGGTGGGGTGATGTTGTGTAAAGCCACAGCAGGGATGGGTGTTTGTCTCCGCCTGCATCGGCACCACGTGTCCCTTCATCATCTTTGAGTCAGCTGACATTGACAGCGCTGTGGACGGAGTGATAGAGGCTGCCTTCAAAAAGAAGAAAGAGGTGATTCACACAAAAAAGCACCAAGGATGGAGTGGTCCAAAGTCAAGTTGGACCTTAAACACACACAGGTCACTGGGTTGTAAAATATCTAAACTCTAGCTCAATCAAATGAGTTTGATGTCTCACATGATCAAGAATCTTTGATAATCCTCTCTTCCTGTCTCACTTCAGGTCCACTGGGTGTTGTATGTGCAGGAGAGTGTGTTGGACAGTGTTGTGGCCCGACTCAGGCTGCGTATGGTGGGGATGAAGTGTGTGGGCCTGCTCAGTGCTGCAGACAGGGTCTTGGTTGATGCCGCAGTACAACAGGCTCAGCAGCAGGGTGCTGTGGTTAGTCCGAAACACTTCAACAAAATGTTCAGAATGACTGAGTTCAAGCTAAATGGGTTTTGATTTAAAGCTACTCTGCCTTTTTCTGTTCAGCCACTAGAGGGTGTAGTGAGACTCAAAACAAACTGACACCTTAACAGCTCCTAACCGCTGTTTGTCCTCCGACCACATCCTGTTTCCTAGTGACAACATAGACTACAGATACCTGGTTGCAACAAACTATACAAACTCCGGTGCAAAGCTAGTGTTAACTGACTAACGAGTAAATGTGTCAGTCCAGTAAAACACTCTGGTTACTGCTAATGTGACACAAAGCACTAACATTACATAAAGCGCAAATTCATCTCAAATTGTATTTCATGATAATATTAATTATGCACTGGCTGGCATAGTTTTATAAAGCTATTTTTGCTAAGTAGCTAGCTGCAAAGCCCTTTAAGCTGGTTTCACTCCACTCGATGTATATAACTACCTTTGGGGAAAAAAGCATGCTCACTTTACAGTGATATGAAACTGAAAAAAAAGGAAGCTGCTTTTTGCTTTTTTACTGAATAAATAACCTGATTTTTTTCTTTGTGTCTCTTAAGTTGATTCAGTCCTGCACTGCCCCTCCTTCAGGGGCCCAGTACCCTCCCACAGTACTCTGTAGGTGTGCCCCCGCCTCTCCCTGTGTGGTCAGCCCCTCTCCTGGACCACTACTGCCTGTCCTGACTTTTAGAAGCAACACAGAGGCAGTGATCCTGGGTAAGGAGGCCTCTGTGGATGCAGATGCAAGACTAAAGATAGGCGAAGCAGTAATTGCTTTGGACAGCTGAGTTAACTTTGACAAATATGAACATTTTTCTTTTAAAACTGGAATTTCACAATGAATGACAGTGGATACAGTTACAGTACTCTTAGCAGCCACACGGAAGACCTGTTGAACATATTATGTATAGCATTTTAATAGTGAATTTCGACTTGAGCCACAGTAATGGTCTCTGCTCTACCTAGGGAACCACAGTCCTCACGGCCAGGCAGCCTCCATCTGGACTGAAGACCTCACCCTAGCTCTGGAGACAGCTAAGAGGTACACACATTCACACACTTCTACATTAGGTCATTGATCTTCCCCATCTCTTCCTCTTACATTCTTTGTTGCATCTGTTTTCTTGCAAAGCACTTTATCATTCATTTCTGACTTCAATATGAAAGGTCCGTTAGTCTCTTCTGATGTTTTTTTCTTCTTCCTCTTTTTCCTCTTCTTCCTCTTCCTCTTCTCTCCCCAGTCTGTCTGTTGGCTCAGTGTGGGTGAATTCCTGCTCTCTGTCTGATCCCTGTCTGCCTGTCTCTGGTCACAAAGACAGCGGCACCTGTACTGATGGAGGACAAGAGGTGGGGTTCAGAAGTTTCTCAAAGTTTAGTATAACAGGACACAGCTATAGATCCCCAAAACTGACAAAAATGTAGTAAAAAACTTATTTTTATTGTGCTAAATAAAGACAAGATGTAATGCACTTAAAGATAATAGACACATGGTGTCTGTGAACTTCAGAGTAGCGTTAGCTGCACTAGCTAACTCTGTAAGCATTAGCCTCTTGGCAAAAATGTTTTAGCTACTGTTGCAAAAATTATATGCAGTTGAGTGCAAAAGTTTGCATCTCCTTACTTTGAAATGGCAAAAAGAGTAAATCTAAGAATTATTTTCTCATCACCATAATATTTACTGCACATTCAGTTAGTACAAATATATATTTAACTGCTGCCAGGAAGAAGAGTCTTGAACTGTCTGTTGACCTTCCCTCTACCTTGTGCCAGGGTCTATACCAGTTTCTACACCCGTCTTCTTCCTCTCCTCTTCCTCGCTCCTCACCTCTGTCTATGGAGTACACAAAGTTTGGAACCGAAGCCTCCCCAGCTATCATTCCTGATGAGTCAAACCTTGCCAGGTGGGTTTATAGTATGTGTGTTCATAAAGTTTCATAAGGCATCAATATATGGTAGCTATTAGTATAATATAATACAGATGAGTTTAAGGACATTATATTATCTGCTTTTGTCAATTGCACCTAAGTGATTTGTTGGGTGCACATCTGTCCATGTGTGTCACTCCTCCCTCCTCTCTCCTCAGTGCTCCTAAGTCCTACCAGCAATTTGTTGGCGGAAAGGCATGTAAAGCAGATTCTGGCTGCAGTCTAGCAGTGCAGCCACCAGGTGGCGGTGGCGTGTTAGCCTACTGTTCAGATGGAGGTCGTAAGGACATCCGTAATGCCGTGGAGGCAGCTATCAAAGTCCAACCTGGGTGAGAGCCTTGACATTCAGAGATACACAAATATACAAATACTCACAGGTTGGGTTATCAAATTCTAGTCAAAACACAAATACATATTGTGTTTGCAAACTCACAGACCCAGAGGACAAATTTCCACACATCCAATGTGGAGAAGAGTAGGGTCCAGTTCCAGACAAAGGGTTTTACAAACTCTGAACTCAACCCAGAAATCTGGGTCGACTAACCCTAAGATGAGAAACTCATAGTTTGGGTTCCAGCACCACGCTGATCAGTGTAATCATGTTGAATTAAGTGTACTTGGTGATTAAACAAATTCATCATAAACAGCCATGATTCACCTTAAGAACAGGTAAATAAAGGGTAGCGTCCCCATTTTAATCCAGTGGAGTTAAAGATATTGTGTATGCAGTTAATCCACATATGGAGTACATTTAATAATGCAGCAGCAGTGAAGGGACCTAAATTAAAATGGGAAAAGAGTCTGTAAATTAATGCTTAAGTTATAGTCAGGGTAGTCTACTCATTCATTAATTGCAAGGCTTGGATTTCCTTCATGGATAGTTGATGAAATCTTAACTGTTTGAATGCATTAATTCAGCTGTCACTGGATGGGGACAAAATGCACTTGACATCAATCAAAGATGAAACTGAAAAATATAAACTGTCCCTTTTTATCTGCATGTAGTTATAAAACCGTATCTCAAATATGATTACTCATATATTCCATCAAAGTGACCAATCACAACATGAAAATACTGGATTTCTTTCTTATTGACTGGCAAAATGTATAAAGCTTCACACTGAATGACTTCTTATATTACCACAAGTTACATAAGTAATGTGCAGAAGGAGAAGGCTATGAGTTTCTCCTCAGTTCAGGGTTAACAAACAGAATATTCACTGAACCTGATTTCTGGAATAGACTGTGATAGATGTATAGTACACACAAACATTTTGAGCAAATTGAATATGCAGCACTTTCTAAATATTCCCAGTACATCTCAGTGTCCAATGTCCAAAAATTATATTTTGTGAAATGGTCATCAACAAAAAGATATATAGTATATAAGAATGTAAAATTCTGTTTTGTCCCACAGTTTAATCCTGTTTGATGTTTTGTAGTCAGAGACCATTTGTGTGTTGTGCAACTATGCAGTTTGGCCTAAGGTGAAGCACTCTGGTCTCCTTATCTTAGTTAAAATGTAACTACTTTTAATGCTAAATGCTAATAAACCTGCCAAGTGTTGCCAAAAGCAAGTGAAATTTGCCCTCCATAAAGGAGATTTGTTCAGGCTTTCATAATCTCACAAGGACATGTTTAGATATTTTACAACCCAGTGACCTGTGTGTGTTTAAGGTCCAACTTGACTTTGTGAATCCATTTGTCAACAACGCATATGAACATCAATCAAATGAGTTTGATGTACTGAACTCCAGTAAACATATAGATCTTTTTGTTAGCACTTGAAAACCATTAAAAGTACAGTACATGCTCACCCTGTTTTCATCTACTTTATACTGTAAGTTTTAACTGAAATATAAGTGCTCATAGTTATGTTATTCCTTTTACCATCCTTCCCTTCCTGTAGCTGGATGAAAAAGAGTCCATCAGCACGCGCTCAGACCGTCTACTCTCTGGCCAAAGGCCTAGAAGCACAGAGGTTGGACATAGCTGCATCGATCAACATCCAGACCGGACTCTCAGTGGATGAGGCACAGACAGAGGTGGAGCTCAGCATTACGAGGCTCAATGACTGGGCGGCTTACTGTGACAAAGTCCAAGGAGGAACTCTAGTGAGGCTTTTTATAATATACAAAATTTATTAAAGATTTTTCCAAAAAATGAACAAACAAGGGAACTGTCAAGAGGACCTTCACCATTTTCTAATTTCCTGCTTGCATTTACCTTTTTTCCTGTCCCTGTGTCCCAGCCTGTGCCACAGTCTGGCTCTGCTTTATCCATCCCTGAAGCCCTGGGTGTTGTAGGCATCGTCCTTCCAGACAGGAATCCCCTCCTCTCCATGGTGACACTTCTTGGAGCAGCCATCGCCACTGGCAATGCTGTTGTCATGGTCCCCAGTCAGAAGTATCCACTGCCAACCTTGGCATTCATCCAGGCAAGTGTGAAGATTGTAAATGTGATGTGCACTGAGTTGGTCCAGGAATGACAAAGACATCCGTACAGAAGTTACAAAATGCTTTACAGTGCACCAACTCCTAATATTCATGTACAGTGGGGGAGGGAATACCGCATGAATTTGCATTTTCTTTTGCACATTTCCTAGAAATTGGGTTAAAATTAGAGGGAAGCCGGACTATAGAGACAAGGCAGTTTTTTTGGATAGTTTGTCAAGGTCATCAGGTTTGACATAAAACAACAGCTTAAAAGGCTCAGTATTAACATATACAATACATTAAAATGAAATAGGACCAAGAACAAACCCTTGGGGCACTCCAAAGGTCAAAACGGCTGCATCACTAAATGCCACTTTAAACTGTGTACAGCTGTCTGTGACACTGATTTTATGTTCATAGTCCTTTGGCTTCTTCTTCCTCCTCCCCCTCCTTAGGTGCTCCAGTCTTCAGACCTGCCAGCAGGTTTGGTCAATGTGATTTCAGGAAATCGAGACCAGCTGACAGTGGCTCTTGCTAATCACAGCGTCATCAAGGCCATCTGGTACTGGGGCAGTGCTGAGGTGAGGACTAAACACCACGACATACACCAGTGTTCAGATTTTGTCAGCAAGCCAGACGGGCACAGCTCCCCCAAGGGAGCCCTGAGCATCCTCAAAACAGGAGTCATTCAAATTAACAATAAGACACCTACAAAACACACAAAATCTTCCAGCCTATTATTATCTTCACTCCTGCTCTCTTATTTCCTACTGTAGGGCTGTCAGTATCTCCAGTACACCTGCATAAATCCTCTGAAAAAACTGTACCTGTCCTGTCAAAAGGACAAGGAGGGAAGGGATTGGACTCAGTCTCATCCCACACTCCTGGAGGAAATGTGGAGAAATGCTGTCCAGTGGAAGAGTGTGTGGATTCCTACTGCATAAGAAGACAGAGGACAATAAAGGATGATGGTGACTAGAAAGAACGAGGAAGCAAGACTTACAGATGTATACAGATGATGATCATGAAAATCATGTCAGTCAGTGAACAGACAACAAATGCCACCAGTAACTGACCTTTTTCTGAGCCCCACCCTCCTTAATTAGTATTGCTACATGCTTACCAAGTTTTTTGTTTCCCAGACAGGAAGTGGATTTTACCCTGCTAGCTCCTTAGTACAAAGTCCATGTTAAATCCGAGTGAGCCCATGTGAGAAAACAGCCGCATATAGTCCAGAGTATTCACAGTGAGCTAGTGGCCATGTTGATTACCATCTATCAAGTTACTGGTGTGAAACCGGAAAAAAACAAATGCAAAGACCGGGACCAGCTTACACGCAGCAATGAAATACTACAGAGGGGATGTGCTGGTCATGAATGGGGCCTTTTTAAAATATATAACCTATAACCTCACAAAGGTAGTTAATAATATGCTAGCTCATGGCCTTGGAAGTAAGCTGTGGGCAGGTTAGACAGTTATCCAGACATGCTAACAACTGCAGCCTACTCTGGAGGAGTTAAAACACGGTTCAATCAGTTACAGCTCTGTTCTTTTGATTTGGTTTTGGGAATGTTAGAATGTTAATATTACAATATGCAGTACATCCTTTCATTTTAAGTTTAATTTTTTTTACATTTTGTCAGCCCCATCATACTGTATAAAATATTTATAAAGGACCATGTGATATCAACATTAGGTTTAATATGAAATTCTGTGAAATTGTTTATTTGATATTTGGTTAAAATCTCAATTTAAGTACAGTTGCCTTCCAAAGGAATTATGCCTGTTTTTTCTCTTAGTCATATTTTCTGCTTGGTTTATTACAGGTATCTTTATAAGGTCCACATTTGTTTTTCCAGGCAGGCTTGCAGGTAACAGAGCCCTGGTTCAAAAAGTATTTATTTGGAAGCAACAAAGTATCAGAAAATATGGTAAAAATCTATCATTGTCTCAGTGAAATACATGCATCTCTGTTGTAGAAATGGTGTTTGTTTTTTTATAACTGTATGCTTTTTCAAAGCAGGACAAAATAAAAAGAAAGATGCCTTGTACCTAGAATGCTGACTCACAACCATGACACAGCACAATCTTTAGTTGACCCTGAAATGCTACTTTTGCAGTTGGTCTACATGACACAGCACAAATTAGGGATGGCAGAGGTGCTGACATGGTTTAGTCTGCACTGCTGAGTCATGATGGCAAGTAGGAAAATGTGTTCTAGCCACACAGACTGTTGTAATGAGAAGTGCTTGTATTACTGAAGAGTCAGATTCCGTCTGTTGTTCTTTGGTTAATGGAACGTAGCAGTAAATGCACAACAAATGATGGTGCTTTTTAATAGACCAAGCAGCATGTGTGTGTGCTGACTCGATCTGAAACCTGCCTGACTTTAGCCTTTCTTATATTTGTTTGTTTTCATAGTGAAATATTCTGTATTTCATCTCTTGTTGAGCACCCCTCAACAAGAGAATGAACATGATAGTTCAGGTATGATATATGTTTAATCATCAGACAATAAGACTGTATCAAGAAATGTAGGATATAGGAAAGAAAACAGAATGCAGATCCAGTGTGCATACGCGCACTCGGCCCGGAGCCCTTGGCTCCAAACAAAATTTCGTTGTATGCTTCACAATGTTACAATAACAATAAAATAAAGCTGCTTCTTCTTCTTCTTCTTCTTCTTCTTCAGTGTCCTTGTGTTAAGCACGGGTGCTAGACAAAGCACCTGTCCAATCTCTAAAGTCTACAAGGCACCTGAAACAAAGAACAGCTATACATGGAGAACTACCAACTCTGTGTCAGTCAATTATAATCTGATAAAAACAAAAGTGATAGTATTTTTTGGCTTAAATTTTAAGGATAAAAGAAGAAAGTAAAAGTTTTAAACTGAAAATCTAAGTTTGCATGAAACAAATCTCAATGAGAGGTTTTACACACATTACAAATAAAAGTGTTATTTTAGTCCCTTGTTGTGACTGGACTTTATGTCCTCAGTATCTTGTAACAGTGCTGTGGCACTGAGCAATGCAATAAAACTTATAGTTGAAAACACATTAGCTGTTTTTAGGTGTCGTGGTCAATTAAATTCACTTCATATAACCAGCATTGTTTGCCTAAATTTATGAGGAGTGTTAGTCAAAAGGCACGAATACATGAGTGTAGAAATATGCAATTTTATTTATATTTTAAATTTATGCTCACATATGATGCGGTTTATTGTCACGTAAAACAGCACAAGTGCTTCGTCATTGCAGCTGGCTGACTGTCAGCAGGTTAGAGTAAACAAGTTGGTATTAAAGTTCAATGAATCCGAAGGAAAAAAATGGCACTCAGCGCCTCCTCCATGAATCTGTCAAGGAGCTCAGTGATTGGTAGAAATGCAGAGTGACGTTGTAACTGTCGCGAGGTCTTCCGTGGAGTATAAATACAGGGAACTGCTCAAGTGCCATTTCACATCAGGGAAAGAACAAGGAATTCTTGCTTCAACAGTGTTTGAACGGAATTTCTTTCGCCCGTTGTTTATTTCGACTACTCCGCCTTTCGGGCCAAAAAAAGAAATCTTTTTCTACTTGAAAACTACTGAAACTTCGACGTAAAGCTCTATTTTTTGTACCGTTTTGCTAAGAAAAAGCACAAGAAACGCCAGCTAAAATGGAGTCCCAAGTGCGTCAGAACTACCACCGTGACTGTGAGGCCGCCGTCAACCGAATGGTCAACATGGAGCTTTATGCCTCCTACACCTACACCTCCATGGTGAGTAAATACGTATTTCTAATAGTAGTCCTGCATTAAATATGCTCTTGTTGTGATTACTTCATGACGTCATTCTATTATCTTCTCACATCAGTTTATTCGCTTGAGTGCAAATTCTGAATTATACTAAAACCTGCAGTTTAATGTTATTACTAAAATGCGGCCTATATTCTAGATTTATTTTGGATTGAAGCATTCCAAGTTGGAGCTTGAGATGCTAGGTAACAAGGGTGTATGGGTGATGTCCTGATGCAGCCTCTGTCTTGACTTCTTCCTGTCCCCTCACAGGGCTTTTACTTCTCCCGTGACGATGTGGCCCTCCCAGGCTTTGCCCATTATTTCAAGGAGTGCAGTGATGAGGAGAGGGAGCACGCTGAGAAGCTGCTGTCCTTCCAGAACAAGAGAGGAGGACGCATCTTTCTCCAGGATATTAAGGTTCGTACGGACTAGAGATCGAGCCTCCTATTTGATCCATTCTTTTAAGTCTTTCCTATTACATTAGATGTTAAAGTCTCTTCAGTCTGCTATAACTGACTTGTTTTTCTCCTGCAGAAACCAGAGCGTGATGAGTGGGGCAGTGGGCTGGAGGCCATGCAATGTGCCCTGCAGCTGGAGAAGAAGGTCAACCAGGCTCTGCTTGACCTGCACAAGCTTGCCTCTGATCATACAGACCCACATGTAAGCTGGCTGAAAAGATAATGCTGCAACAGTTTTCATTAGTATATGTTGTAAAAAAAACTTTTATTGGTTGACCAAATAACTAACTGTTTTCTCCCCCTGTCCTCAGATGTGTGACTTCCTGGAGACCCACTACCTGAATGAACAGGTGGAGCACATGAAGAAGCTGGGTGACTACATCACCAACCTCAGCAAAATGGATGCTGGCAAGGACAAGATGGCAGAGTACCTGTTTGACAAGCACACCCTGGAGGGCAAGAGCTAAACACAGAGGCCCATGAATGAGCCTCATGTCTGTCTTGGCAGCAACAGGCTTCTGCTCCAGTTTACTCACTGAGCTTAATCTTGTATCTAATCTTCTTAACCTACCAAGTTCTGTCTTTTGGTGGTGGTTAAAATGGTATGGAAGAACAGATGTCACCAGGTTACAGCTTTGTTCTTGATTGTGTCAGCCTTTTCTTGTAACACTTGAGTTTTGAGTTTCTGATCTGTCAATGCAAATAAAACATTTTGAGCTGGATTTTGGGTTCTCTTGTTTTAGACCCTGAACATCAACCAAATGGGTAGCTTTTTAAAACCGTCTTTTGCTTAAAATTGCATGACTTACGATGACTATTGGATTAATAGTTGACTAATTTTGACAGATTACTAATATTCACTGTCATTTAAAATCCTGTATGAAAATAGGCCTTTGCCAGTCATTGAAATTCAAGAATTGGTCACTGCTTTCCACTGCATCAAAAAAAGAGGCCACTACATTTACTGTTTGTGCTTTTGGCTGATGGAAGCACAAACCTGTCTTGATGTAAAATCATAATTCCAGAGATCAACGGTGGAAGAAGTGCTCAGTTTAATGGCAATACCTTGGTATAAATGACTTTCATTTAAAATGTTCAAGTATCAAAAGTACTCCACAGTTTGTGTTGTACATATGTTAATTTATGTACACATTTAATGTTGCAGCTCATAACTGCTTGGTTACTCTAGAGATCAAATCTTGTGATTATACTTTTACTCTGAGTAACTTGACTAAAGTCAGATGTGAGTACAAAGTACAATATTTTTCTCTAATATGGAGTGAAGTTGAAATATGAAGTAGCAGAAAATGAAAACATTAGATACCTTAAAATTGTACTTAAGTGCAATACTTGAGTAAATGTAATGACTTTCTATCTTTATAAAAGCTGTTAATACATTTGCACATCTGCTTGCAATATAATTCTTGGGCTATTTGTTAGGCATCTGTGTTGATCCAGACTAAGGTTTCTAATCTCATTGGCTTTTGGCTGAAGTGTCATAAAAACTGGCTGAGAAATTCATGGTTCACATGTTCTACCTTAATGAGTTTTCTTTAGCCTCCAGTGCCACCATGAGGTTTATTTTTGTGGCCTTGAGTCTCAACAACTGTTAGATGATTTGCTATTTAGCTTGGTACAGAGCTGATGTTATTTTGCCAGCATCACATTGGCAAAGCCCACTCCTGGGAGTGGTCTAGGTCCCAATTTTGTCATCGTAATATTATTAAAGTTATTAGGCTAAGGGTTCCAGCAAACTATTTAAAATGTCTGCTGTGAAAAAGCTCAGCGACTCATTTGGGAACAACGAGGACACAAGACCTATAAAAATAACTGTCGAGCTGCAGCTTTATTCAGACATTAAATGAGAAAGAAAAATGAGATATCAGGTAGGTTTTCACACTGAAAAAGAATAAAATTGTGATGTCCAAAAATATGACAAGGCCTAACTTGCACTTGAGTTCATTTATAGAAAAGCAGGGCAGTATTAGTGTCCTTTATCCCAAAGGTTCTGCAAAGTTTAACTTGCATTTTTCACTTTCACTAATGAGAAATTTATGACAAGAAACACACAGATTATGTATTTGATATATCAAATGTTTATTTTATTTCTATACTGAAACATAGAAAATTGCACAGTTAAGGGACCAAACACTGTGGTTGAAACATACAGTTTTCAGTAATCTGTGTCCAGTTACTGGTTCCTTTTTTGCTTTCTTGTTCCTGGTTTTTATTCTCCCAAACTGGTTCCATCCAGCAGGGTGCTGACGTAATCTTCAGTCAAATGTTTCCTTGGTCACAGGACTCCTCCCTCTCCCTGCCACATTGGTACAATCAGGACAAAATAACAGGACGCTGTGGAACACTGAGTCATAATGACACAGCATAATCCTCAGTCAGACCTGATGCTACTCTTGGACTGAACTGACTTTGTACTACGTGATACAGCACAAATTCAGGATGGCAGAGGCACCGGTGTTGTCTAACCTGCTGAGTCTGTGGTATACAGTATAAACTGGGTGTAGCCACACACACACCTTGCTGTCATGACAATATTGCTGAAGTGCCAGATTCAGTTTTATGGTGCTTCATTTTATGGAACATACAGTAAATGCATGACAGGCTGCGGTGCTTTTTATCAGACAAAGGAGAAGGGTGTGTGCTGACAGTGGATCTGAAACCTGCATGTCTTTAGTCCATCTTTTCTTACCTTTGTCTGTGTTGTGTACAGTCTTTCACAGAGCAGGCTTGAGACACGAGATATGCCTGATATATTTTAATGCAGACCTTAGTGTATCATAAAACAGATATAACTACAAGTGCAAAATAATAAATAGGTGCAAAACAACAACGATAAAACTAAAAACTGTAAAACTAAAAATTAACAGGTACAAACACCACACAGTCTTCAGAATGATGGTGAGCACTCTTACATTAACAGTGCCTATAGACAAACCTGCCATACTACAGTTTCATTAAGCTAAACATCTGGTGTGATCAAAAATGATACCGCTTTCTAATAATTGTGAGGAATGTCTTACGTAGTTAAAATACAGACTGCAGAGAAGAGTGTGACGGTGACATTTCAAAGCCTCTAGCTTTGTATGCTATGCTAACTACTAACAGTAATGGGACAAATATCAAGGTTGTAACCTCTAAGATCAGTGGAGGTCTTTTGATAACATAATCAATGGGAGGTTTTTGCAGCTGATACAGTAACAGGTAAGAGTTCAGTACATTCAGTAAACATTAACCATCTGTGGCTGACATCGCAAAAATATTCTTTGTGCAGTTTTAGCAGTAAATATGACATTAATAGAGAAAAGCTGTACAAATTACCCTCAAATAATGAATAATGAAACATAAAGTTTAATCATCAGACAACAAGATTGTATCAAGAAATGTAGGATACAGGAAAGAAAACAGAATGCAGACCCAGTGTCGCTGAGTTAGGCCCAGGTGCTGAACAATAAAACTATACACATGGAAAACTACTGACTCACCATGCTGCGTCAGTTAATAATAATCTGATAAAACAAAAGTGATGCTACCGTTTATTTTACATTTGAATTTTAAACAGCACAAAGTTAAGGCTTAAACAAAATATTTACGTTTACATTAAAGAAACGTCATTCCAAATCTCAGTGTGTGGATTTACTGCCTTGTAAAACCAGCTGTGCTACAGGATTAATATTTAAAGTGTGACAAGAGTTGAAATTCCACCCCTAACAGTTTTGTTGCAGTGAGACTTTTTTTGTAGCAGCATTTCATTAAAAAACAACTTTGTTCACAGATGAATATATAAATACAATATTTTTTTGGTCCACTGATAGGACTTTTCAGGATTTTTAGCCTCAGTAGTGTCTCATAACAGTGCTGTGGTACTCACAAATGTCATAGACAGAAACCGTGCTGGTTGATAATTCATTATTAGCAGTTTTAGATGTCATGTGGTCTATTTATAAGGCAACACTGCATTTACAGAAACAGCATAGGCCCAAAATGTACTACACTTTATACATTTTATAGGTTACCTAAATGTTTGGAGGGTGTGAGTCAACAATCTAGTATCCCTATTGGGTCACTTTATAGAAAAAAAACGATGCAAAACAAGAATTCAGCATCATTTACCTACTCATATAATCAAATTATTAGTTGTTTATTTTGCAGTGTTACTCTATGATGACTGAAAATCTGCCTCGTGTTTTGAATAAGACACTCCTAGGACACGATGGACATTTATAGTTAGGTAGCCTACATCACAGTGGATACTATAGCAGAAAAGGATTTAGGAAAGGTTTATATTATTTGTATTTAGGCCTGTTTTTATTCTTGAATAACCTCTTCCTTTCTACAACCTTTTACTGGTTTTATACCGTTTGCATAGGCCATGCACAAATAAGGGGAAATGGCAGCTGCTCGGCCTACGTAGGCTATATAGATAAATCCATCCATGATCTATATCGCTTATTCCTGAATAGGCTGAGGGGGCTGGAGCCTATCCCAGCTGACATTGGGCAAGAGGCGAGGTACACCCTGGACAGGTAGTCAGACTTGTATAGATACTTTACTAAATTAAATGTATTCTATATTTACATTTTTGTTCAAATATGATCCAGTTTATTGTATCTTAAAACAGCAAAATTGCTTCATCACTGCACATGACTGGCTGCCAGCAGATAAGAGTAAATTAATAAAACATTATTTTCCATGACTCAGAAGGATGGGAATACCACTTCCTGCCACTGTCATGTGCCTCGTACAGGATGCGCTGAGGAGCTTCCTGATTGGTGGAAATGTGCAAGGTGACATTGTAACTGTCACGCGGTCTTCCGTGGGTATAAATACAGGGAACCGTTTCATTGTCTTTTCACATCAGGGAAAGAATAACAAGGAGTTCTTGCTTCAACAGTGTTTGAACGGAACTTCTTCTTTAGCCGGTTGTTTGTTTTGACTATTCTGCTTTTCGGACAAAACAAAAACTTTTTCTACTTGAACACTACTAAAACTTCGACGTAAAGCTCTATTTTTGTACCGTTTTGCTAAGAAAAAGCACAAGAAACGCCAGCTAAAATGGAGTCCCAGGTGCGTCAGAACTACCACCGTGACTGTGAGGCCGCCGTCAACCGAATGGTCAACATGGAGCTTTATGCCTCCTACACTTACACTTCCATGGTGAGTAAATACGTGCTTCTAATAGTAGTCTTGCATTAATATACTTAATATAGTCTATATACTTGTGGTGCCTTCTCAGTCAGCTTGCAGGCTGATTAACAGTGTGGAAGATGATGGGTCTGGTTTTAAATTTGCATCGCATCCAAAGACTGCATGTATGAACTGCCTTCAAGAGCCACTGTAACAAGATGCAAAGTGGAGGAGGCATTGGGACAGACCAACATGGTTGGGCTCACCAGAGATTACTGGACTTCTCAAAGTATAGCTACCACAATTGTACTGTAAATGTACTTTCATCCATTTAGAATGGATGATGTTTATTCCTGAGTTGACCAAGGATACAACTGATCCTAGCATCTTCACATCAATAATGTTACTGTAAATATGTCTGATGCACATCAGACCTGAAATTTAGTGATTTCATCAACTATTAAACGGCTCATGTCTGATCTTAAGGTTACAGTTGGCATGAACCCCAACACCTGGAAAGTACTGGGCTTCAGTAAATATCAGCTACATTCCTGCTGAGGTTGTCAGTAGCCAGGTTCCTCTTTTTTACTCTTTCTCTTGTAGAAACCAGAGCGTGACGAGTGGGGGAGTGGGCTGGAGGCCATGCAGTGTGCCCTGCAGCTGGAGAAGAAGGTCAACCAGGCTCTGCTTGACCTGCACAAGCTGGCTACTCAGTATGCAGACCCTCATGTAAGTTGGCTGAAGACAATGCTGAGATAAGACAAAGTTGAATGATTTACTAGTCTTGACCAAATAACTGTTTTCTCCCCCTGTCCTCAGCTGTGTGACTTCTTGGAGAGGCACTATCTGAACGAACAGGTGGAGCACATGAAGAAGCTGGGTGACTACATCACCAACCTGACCCAGATGGATGCTGGCAAGAACAAGATGGCAGAGTACCTGTTTGATAAGCACACCCTGGAGGGCAAGAGCTAAACACAGAGGCCCATGAATGAGACTAGTGTCAGTCTCAGCAACAACAGGCTTCTGCTCCAGTTTACTCACTAAGCTTAATCTTGTTTCTAACCTTCTTGACCTACAAAGTTCTGTCTTTTGGTGGTTAAAATGTTATGGAAGAACAGATGTCAGCAGGTTACAGCTTTGTTCTGGATTGTGTCAGCCTCTTCTTGTAACACTTGAGTTTTGAATGTCTGATCTGTTGACGCAAATAAAACATTTTGAGCTGGATTTTGGTTTCCCTGTTGCCTGTTTAGACCCTGAACATCAACTGTTGCTAATGTATTTACTGTTGGTGCTTTTAGTTGTTGAAACATTCAGAAGCCTTTCTGTGTCTTAAGTTAATTTAAAAGTCCTCCATATTTCCAGGGAATATAATGGTGGGTCATGTGCTCAGATTAATAGTAGAAATACCTTTAGTACAAAAATACTTTTAAAATGCTTAAGTTCCAAAAGTACTCTGTATGCACACTTTACATTGTACATGAGACTTATTGTGTATATTACCTTTAATGCTGCAGATAACTGGTTACTCTAAGGGTCAAATCTTGTGATTGTAGTCAAGTCAAAGTTTGTCATATGCACAGTTAGGAAATGTGTTTCCCTGTACAATGAAATTCTTTGCTGTCCACATGAATGCCATGAAATATAAAGTAGATAAGTAACAATCTAAGGCTCTTTAAGCAGCAGAGGCAGTGATATAAGAATATAGTAGAGAATGGGAGCAGCATGTGCAATTCATGTTCAAAGAATGTAAATAGTACAAGTCGAGAGTACACGTATTTCCTGGTAATAAATTCATCAGCTGTTTAGGAGTCTGGCAGAGGGAGAGAGTTTTTCAGGCTAGAGGTCCTGCATTTCACACTCTGAACTTCTGGCCAGAGAGTACTGAGGCAAACAGTCCATGGTGGGGCTGGGTGGGG